AAATGAGGGAAAGAAAAAGAAAAAGGAAATATAAGGAAAAAGGGAAGATAATATTGAAGATAGTTAAAAGAAAAGGGTGGAATTGTAAATACTGAAATTAATTTAAAATTCCTTGATTAATTAAGAAAATCAAATTAGGCATACTAATAAATCATAATTAGTATAATTAAACATGTTTAATTCTTGAGGTCGTTATAGCTCTATTCCTCTTAAGGAATTTAGTCCTCTAAATTAGAGCTTATCTCAGGATATGAACAGATGCGGATATCGTTCCTGCATTGTCGCTTCTAGTTCCAACGTTGCTTCATCAACGCTATGGTGTTGCCACAACACCTTCACTAACGGTATCTCACGATGACGTAGGCTCTTCATTTTCCGATCGAAAATCTAAACTGGTGCTTCCTTGTAACTCATGTCATACTGGGTTAGAACGTCATACCATTGTATCACAGCTTCTGGATTGGGTTGACACTTGCAAAGCATCAAAATATGAAATACGTTGTGCATATAAGACAACTCTGAAGGAAATACGAGACGGTAAGCCACAACACTGACTCATTGCACGATCTGGAACAGGCTGATATACTGTTGCGCGAGTTTCCCTTTCACATCGAAACGAGTGACTCCTTTGCGTGGAGAAACCCTTACTAATACAAAATCGCCTTCCGAGAATTCTAAGGGTCTACGCCTCCTGTCAGCATAGCTTTTCTGACAACTCTGAGCTATCAGTAATCATTCCCGAATAATGATTATCTTCTCATTGTTTTCTTGGATGACATATGGTCTAGTAGTAAGCCAATTCCCTGGCTCGAGCCAGCAAACTGGTGATCTACAAGGTCTACCGTACAGAGCTTCGAATGGTGCCATTCTAATGCTAGCCTGATAGCTATTGTTGTAGGCAAATTTGGCTAGATAGAGATACTTCTTCCAACTTCCACCGAAATCCAAAACTCAAGCACGAAGCATATCCTCCAGAATCTGAATGACTCTTTCAGATTGTCCGTCAGTTTGGGGATGAAAGACGATGCTGAAATTCAATTCGGTCCCCAAGGCTTCTTAAAAACTTCTCCAGTACTTTGCATTGAAACGAGTGTCATGATCTGATGTGATAGAAAACAGAACTCCATAAAGCCTAACGATGTGTTTTAGGTACAACTCTCATAGAACTTTCTTGAAATACGTTTCACGAAACGGTATGAAGTGTGCAATGACAAATTTAACACAATAAATTTGTTAAATTCATCATACATTATATTTAATTTGAAATTTACTATAAAATAATATATCACATATGATAAATTTAACGCAATAAATAACATTGTATTAGAGTATTTTTTACCATAAAATAATATATTTACAATTGACATATTACTTCTAGCACGGCATTGGAGATGTTATTACACATTTCATGTAGCGTGTACTTTTCTAGAACATTGTAATATTATAATACTAAACCGCCAACTGTCTTGACAAAGCAATCTTTTCAACTGTGTTCATCAAGCAATCTTTTCAAACAAAGCAATTTCCTGGTACAAGCGTTTCATATAAAGGCATAATGAAAAGCAAGTCTGTATGCGTGTGCATCAGTCCTTCAAAACGCTCAAAAAATGCCATCTAGTACTCACAATTTCTCAACTTTTTGAATTTAATAATTTAATTCTTATTTTTTGACAATTAACTCTTTTAATTTTTAAATCTTTACAATTAAGATTCAATAAAAAATGATATATATTTTCTTGATGATTCTGATGATCACGTGAGCATATTGTTGAAGGCAATAAAAATCATTTCTCACCATATTTATTTTGTTATATTAATTTCAAAATCATCATGTCCTCGAACACAATCAGTTGTTATAAACAACTCTTAATTTTCAAGAGTTATTGCTCTTAATGGACGCTTCAAGGGTGAGAAATGATCATTATTGACTTCCACAAACATTCACATGCGCGTCACATGATCAAAATCATCAAAAAAACATATGTTATTTATGATTGGACTTCAATTGCAAAGATTTTTAAGTTGAGGGGCATTCATACAAAAAAGTCCTAAAAAAATAATAAACAAGGGATTATGTGTGTGCATAACAAACAAATTTGGCGAATAAAATACAAAGCAAAATTTTAGGTTAGATAGCAAAAGGATCCCAAAATTGAAAAAAAAAATTTAATTGATGAGTGAGTGTTTTACTCACAAATCAAATGCTTTAAAGCTTAATTATTTATTTAATTCTCAAGCATTATTTTTTATTTTAATGTGTTTTTGTTCATTTTGTAAGAAAATGGAGAAAATTAGACTTAATGGCAATATGGATCAAAATTTAGAGCAAACCACGCAAAAAGGGGCACACAGACCCCTTCCTAGCAGCAAGAGGTGCCCGTGCAACATAATGGCGCGGGCATGCCATCAAGAGGGGCGTTGTAGAATGGACAAAGCGAGCACACCATGCAAGGCGCGTGCCCGTGCCACTCACTGTACGGCCACGCCATCTGGGCACGCAGCCGTGCCTCCTCTCCGATCTGACTGAAGTTTGGGTCATTTTTGGCCCTTGATTTGATTTGGGGGTCGAGATTGCTCCTTTGGAGGTCATGTGAGAGACCATTAAGTCAAAAAAATCCTAATTTTGAGAGGCACACTTATAAACAAAGATTGGAGGCACAAACTTTAAAAACAAGAAAGAGCTTAGAGGCTGAAAGTTGGAGGATTTTTCTTAAAGATATCTTGAAAGATTCTTGAAGATTGAAGCCTTGAAGACCACTCTAATATAGTTTCCTCTTAATCTCTACTCTTTTTATTTTGATTTTAATTTGAAAACTATTGTTGTGATATTGTGATAACATGGTAGTTTTTATGATTTTCATGATGATTATGCTTATGATTTGACCATGTGTGACTAGATTTCTAACCTAGGGTCTTGATGTAGCTAGCTTGAACTATGTTGTGAATATTTAGTTGGTTGTTAATGAAATGTTGACTCAATCATTTGTGTTTCTCTTGTACTTAATACCTCTAGTTGATTGGAAAATAGACTAGTTTCTTCGACATTTGGGTTGATGCTCAGGAGATATTAGTTCGAATATCGGTATAGGGAAGCACGATCTAATGTTGCTGTGAGACCAGGAGATGATCAACACATAGGTAATCGTTATGAGAATCTTAGTAATTATGAGACCGAGAGGTGATCAAATGCTTAGATAATCATTGAAAAGTTGAGCTTAATGAATGTATTTATACCCAAGTTAGATAGGGATATTGGCTTGTTTATTTGCACATGTTATCTTACTTGACGCTTGGTAGAGGTAGTGAGACTAATTTAGAAATCTTAGATTAATGAATTGAGTTAATATAATTAGCAACCACTTAATAGGAAGACATAGGGAGAGCGAAGCGAAGTCAAGACCCTAGAACTCTATTATTATTTTTATTTTCACTCATAGTTTCCATATTTAGTTACTTATTTTGTAAGATCTTGTGTTTAGCTTTAATAGTTAAATTACTTTGCTTTTCTTGCTTCAATTACTTAATTCACTCGATTTCGGTTGTATAGATAAAATTTAGTTACGAGCACTCATGATACTTAGTTTAATTCTTGAAAATTCAATCTTATGGGACGATATTTGACTTTTTAATCACTTTATTACTTTTGCGACCAGTGTATTTATGGAAAATTTTGCAACAACAACCAAACTCTTAAATGTGGCAAATTATGTATTTGCAAAAAGATCAAGAAAATTTCTAGGTAAAAAGTGTATGCAACTTATGATGTGACCACTTGGAATGTGGTTAAAGTATGAGCAAGAAATGGCACACACATTTTTGGCTTTTAGTGATTAAACTTTCCAAAGTTTGAATGAGGAGTGATTGCTTTTTAAAGTTTTAAAGGGAAATTATCTTCACACACCATACTGTATCTTCACATAATTAACACCGGGAGTTGCAGAGCTAGAAAATCAAGTGGGGGGAGGCGAAGCGGATATATAATTTCAAATTTTGATGGAGAGCAACATGTGTAGTTTCATACTTTTAACGGGATTAAACTACAAATTTAACAGAATACACATACAGAATTAAATGATAAAAATTCACGTGGGGCGGCCCTACTCTCGGGAAGCTGTTTTGCCACCTCTACAACTTCAAGCTAGTTCCATCACATGGGTTTCTGTTTTCAACCAGTGATGGAGTCAGAAATTTTTGTCAATAGGGTTAATATTGCTCTACATTTTCATGCGTTTAACACTCTAGGGTCCGTTCATTTCGCTGATTCGAGTTTATAATTTGAGTTGAGATTTGATTTTATGTAAGAGCTTTTTACTGTAGCAAAAAAGTTAGATGTGACTGTTTCTGAGAGCTTTTTACTGTAGCAAAACTCGAATTCTAAACTCGAATCGGCGAAATGAACGGGGCCTATATTAATTTCATTATCAAGGTAATTGAAAATTGAGTTTATAGTTCTTATGTGTATAGGGTTTTTTTAGAGAAGGTGATATCTTTGATGTGTGTTATAAGATTAATTTTAGTGAGGGCGGCTAACCGAATATGAATATAATATAATACACATTTATATATGTATAAAATTTATAAAATAAAAAATTTTAGTGGAGGCTTAAGCCCCCACCAGAGCCCTAGTCACTCCGTCTTCAACCAATCAGCACCGAGGTGGGCGGAAGAAGAATTAAAATTTCATATACTTATTTAAGCCATTACAAGTTGCAACTCTAACCTAGATAGTTCCATTGCACTTTCTGACGGGCATTTGTTTTTCAAGACATCTATTGTCAGCACTGAGGTGAGCTGATGGGAAACAAAAAATAAAAAAAAAAATGCTCAGGTTCACCTTTCCTCTGAGGCTGCGCCGAACGCAAAGAAAAAGAAAAGAAGTAAAATTGTCTTTCTATTATTAGCTTTCATTTTTTTATTATTTTTTTTACTACGCGTCCGCTATATAATTTTGGCACACATTTATACGTCGCCACTTTGGAACAGATTGATTACAGGTAGGGAGTTAGCTGAGGCTCATTCTATAAATACTAGTAGTAGTAGTAGTAGAGAGTTTGTCATTCCTAAATACTAAGTTCAAAAATACCGCATTTTCAATATGGATCTCAAAACACCCTCTTTCTCATTCCTTTTCAGCATCTTCCTCTTTGTGTTTCTGGTGCTGAAATTACTCATCCAAAGAGCTAAATCCACCAGCTCAGCTTCAAAACTACCCCCAGGGCCATGGAAACTACCCTTACTAGGAAATCTTCACCAGCTTTTCGGGTCCTTACCGCACCATGCACTTAGCGACTTGGCCAAGAAACACGGACCATTCATGTACCTAAGGTTTGGACAAGTGCCGACCATAGTAGTTTCATCAGCGGAGTTTGCCAAGGAAGTGATGAAAACCCATGATGTCGTCTTTGCGTCGAGGCCTCGGGCTCTCTCTTCGCAGATCTTGTTATATGATTTTACAGACGTTGCCTTTGCTCCATATGGCGAGTATTGGAGACAGCTGCGGAAAATTTGTGTGCAAGAGCTCTTGAGCACAAAAAGAGTTGAATCTTTCCGACCCGTTAGAGAGGAAGAGATGTTTAATCTCATGGAATGGATTGCTTCAAATGTTGGCTCAGCTATAAATCTCACCGAGAGGACCAAATACTCGACATATGATATAACATGGGGGGCAGCCTTTGGCAAGAAAATTGAAGATCATCATGAGTTCATATCGATTGTTGAGGAAGCATTAGAGGTATCAGGAGGTCTTGATCTTGTAGATTTGTTTCCTTCTTTTAGTTTTCTTGCTGGATTAACTGGTGCAAATCATAAATACGAGTCGATTAAAGGAAGGGCTGGAAGGATAATGGAAAACATAGTCAAGGAACACAAAGACAAGAAGTCAACAATGAAGAGTAGTCAAAGTAGTCAAAAAGATCAAGAAGATCTGCTTGACGTTCTTCTGAAATTTCACAACCAGGCTGAACTTGGTTTCTCCCTAACAACTAACAACATCAAAGCTGTTATTTGGGTAAGCATATTTGTTTTTTGTTTTTGTTTTTTTCTGCTTTATACCCACAAACGTAATTTACACTAATCATTCCAAAGATATGAGTTGTTTAAACCATCAATTTAGTGTGGTGCACTGTTGACCAAGAAAAAGTATTTTTTTCTTTTTCAAAGAATGGTATGCAAATGTGACTTATATTAAATTTCACTTGCCTAACCATTCATTAACTTTCAGGACATCTTTTTTGCTGGGAGTGAGACATCTTCTACAGTTGTAGATTGGGCAATGGTGGAAATGATAAAGAATCCAAGAGTGATGAAGAAAGCTCAAGATGAGGTGAGACAAGTCTGTAGTAAAAAAGGGTTGGTTGATGAAACCATGCTTAGTGAGATGAAATATTTGAAATGTATTGTTAAAGAAGTTCTAAGATTACACCCTTCGGCTCCTTTGTTAGTTCCAAGAGAATGTAGAGAGGAGTGCGAGATTAACGGTTATTTGATACCAAAGAAAACTAGGGTCATAGTTAATGCATGGGCAATAGGAAGAGATCCTAAATATTGGGTTGAACCTGAGAGTTTTCTACCGGAGAGGTTTCTTGATAGTCCTCTTGACTTCAAAGGAAGAAATCTTGAGTATATCCCATTTGGTGCTGGAAGGAGAATATGCCCCGGCATGTCATTCGGTCTAATGAATGTAGAACTTCCTCTTGCTATGTTGCTTTACCATTTTAATTGGAAACTCCCCATTGGGGTGAAGCATGAAGACCTGGACATGACCGAGTCTTTCGGCGTAACAGTTAGAAGAAAGGATGATTTGCACTTGATTCCCATGGCTTATGACCCGTTACCTAATGGAAAAATCTCTGCGAACACAATGTAACTTGTAATATCTGGCTCTTTGAGTAGTACCTGTTTGTTTACATTTTCCTTTCTTATCGTTAATAAAACTCAGAAAACCACTAGTACTGTTGGCCGAGGGATCATGATGTTATTCGCCTCGAAATATCCCATCAAATAAAGTTTTACATAGTGATTATTTGCTGATTATTTAGAGACCTTATAAGTTATTGTTGTTGTAGTATTGCCATTGCTATTATTATTATTATTATTATTATTATTATTATTATTATTATTATTATTGTTATTATTAATATTATTATTGTTGTTATTATTATTATTGTTGTTGTTGTTGTTGACCGGTCTATCAGTGGCAAACTATTAGTATATTAGTTGTAAAACCCATAAAAAAAATACTTTTCACTAAAAGAAAAAATTCGGCCAGTAAACAAAAGGGTTGGTCAAAAGCAATCATTCATCTAATTTTTTTAAACAAGTTAGAGAATCTAATGTTTAAAGTGTAAATTTTTTATTATTTTTTATTATTGTTATTATTATTGTTATTGTTATTATTGTTGTGTAAATAAAAAATTCAGACTTTAAACATTAGATTCTCCAACTTGTCTAAAAAAATTAGATGGATGACTGCTTTTGACTAACTCTTTTGTTTAATGGCCGAATTTTTTCTTTTTAGTGAAAAGTATTTTTTTTATGGGTTTTACAACTCATATACTAATAATTTACCACTAATAGACCGGTTTATGAATGATTTACTAATGTTCTATCACTGATTTACTAGTGCTCTGTCACTAATAGACAGTCAAAATTATTACCTAACATTGGTTAATCACTAATTAACATTGTGTGTTAGTGATAAACTGTTATGTTAGTGATGAACACCTAAGTTTATCAGTGATACATCATGAATCAATTAATTACTAATTAACCATTCTATTTATAAATCCGTCACGGTCAGAAAGAAATAAGTGAGTGAATCAGAATTGCATCTGCAACACCGCATCGAGTGACGACTAGAGGAGATGAGATAGAAAGAAGTGAGAGGGAAGAGAGGGGACAACGTAGCGAGGAGGAGATGAGAGAGAAAGAAGAGAAAGAGAGGAGAGAGAGAGAGGAGGACACGAGAGAGCAGATGAGAGAGAAAGAAGAGAGAGATCAGGAGTTTAAAGAAAAAAATTTAAATGAATTCTTATGTCGGTTTGTTAAAACATTATTATAAGTGTGGAATTTAAAAAACAAAATCAGTACCAAGTGTTAACGACAAAATAATTGTGACTATTAGAAAAAAAAAAAAACCCCACTATTGTGACAAAACACCTGGTGTGACTATGTGTATTAGTCACAGGTTGTGATTAAGAGCCCCTTTGGTTGGCGAATTTGTTCTCTAATTCGAATTATAATTCATAATTCGTTACAGTATTTTTTCTTATAAAAAACACACGTAAATTAAAAATAATTCTAATCTCATAATTTTAATCCATAAACTAAACGGGCTCTAAAGGTTTTTTTTAGTCACAAGATATCTTGGTTGTGACTAAAGGGTTTCAATAAAGCCTTGATTGACAATACTTGATTCATACTCCTTATCTTTCTCCAAATATTTGAGATCAATAAAGAAAGATGGTATTAGATTTATTTCTGTGCGCATATCGAGGGAAGGGTTTTAATAATTAGACCATAGGACATTAGGTCAAAAAAGCTAGTTTAACTGGTCTTGTCGTTTACAAGTATTCCAATTCTTGTACTATTTATTTTCTTCGGAGCCCCAAAGTTATGAAAAACATTCTTTGTGGAGTTGAATTAATGCAGCCCAAGTTTTTGTACAACGCGTTAATAATGTCATTGAAGTTAGAAAATCCACCCCACCTATCACATGAGTACTTAATATCCATTATTATCATAATTTATAATGAGCTTTTTCATGACGAGTGAAAAAAATACCACATTAGAAATGCTAAGGGACTCTTTTTGTCGCTCTCTCTATTATTTTCTATATTTACAGTTTGATATGTGTACTCTACTATCACATTTTCTGTTTAAATAATAATATATTATGTTAGTGAAGTCCATGTGTTAAAATTGTGAATGCAGATAGTGACATAAAAAAGTGATATTAGCATTTCTTATACCACATTAGTTAGTGCTTAAAAGTTGGGACTAAAACTGGTGTCCATAGCAATACTTTTTTTTTTTTTCAAACAATCCTTTCATATGAAGTTAATTGTAACTCTATAAAATAGAGTTATTTTCGCTCTTATATGCATTTAAATTGGTTTTGTTCTCGATGATTCTTAAGTTTAGTTTAAGTATATTTTAATTGTTTCATTTTATTTTATTTTAGTTCATTTTGTTTTTTATTTTATTTAATTTTCCACTTTAATAGTTTTGGTGATCCTCTTTTGTGTTTAAATTTGGTGAAAATTGCAATTTGGAGTTTATTAGGTTTAAAAAGGAAGCAAACAAGTGAATTAAATCATAATTTAATCCAGATCAGAACAAGCCCAACCGTCGGCCCAGCCCCAAAGCTCAACCAGAAGCCGCCACGTGGCATGCTTTGTCGGACCAACTTGGGTTCATTTTTCTTGTTGCTGAGCGTGATTTTGAGTTAGCTATTCATTCATTCGACACTCAACCTAAAATTAAGAGCCCCATTGGAGAGCTGATAAAATAATATCTGGGGAATTATTTTGGAAAATTTAGGATAGTTTTTACGACTTTTAATTTCATTAGATTTTAGGTTTTAATATTGGAGAAGGTATTTTTGAAGCTACAAAAAGAAGAAGAGGAGGATTTAGAAGAAAAAGTTTGGAGACTTATAATGACACTTACAATTTGGTTTCATTTTCTAATTTTCTAATTCTATATTCTTGTTCTTGTTCTTTAATTTTCTACAATTTGTTTGTGATTGTCTGATCAATGATTGTATTATTTGGTTTTTGACTTGAGACTGAGAGGTGATGAATTAAAATTAATAGGCCAATAGTTTCCATAAGTTAATAAATAGGTCAAATTACTGTTTTTATTCATAACTTGTCTGGTTATGAATCATAACTTGATAAGTTATTGTCCATAATTCATGGTTTTTATCCATAACTTGTCTGGCTATGAACCATAACTTGATAAGTTTGTCCATAACTTATCTGGTTATGAACCATAACCTGACAAGGTATGGTCTATTAATTTTTATAACTAAAAATGGGCCTATATACTTTCTTAAGCTTTTCATATTGGCCTATTTTCTACTATTTCTGTTTAATAAGCCCTGGTTTAGAATGTCCTAAGTTTGTCATATGATTGAGAGATATATAAAGCTTTGTAGTGCTATAAATTCCATTCTTAATAAGTTTCAATAGGTTTAGAATATTGACTGAGATGTACTCTTTTTCGTTGCTTTACTCTTTTTTTTTTCTTTTCTTTTCTTTCTTTGCAGCCCATTTGTTTACTGTGGTTTCCTTTCTTTTCCCTTTTTGTTTCTCATTAATTTTCTCTCGATTTCAATCTTGTTGCTCTCTCTCATAGATATATTAAAACTTCAATCTCAATTAATCTCATTGCTTGTGATTAATTGTGACTTCTATTGTGGTTGGCTTCTTTCATTCCTTTCATGGTCAATTTTTCTCTTTTGTGCGTGTGAATGTGCTTTCGTTTATTTGAACTTAAGAATTATTAAAATTTTATTTAGTTGTTTAAATGCATAGTTTTGACTACTTAATTAATTGATTATAAATTCTCCTTAGTTAATAAACTGTCAATTTTCAAAAAACAAAAATAAAAAAATCTAACAAAATAACGAATGACATGTGTGGGGTTTTTCTTAAAAGAAAACAAAAATAAAAACATTCAATTATGTTCCTAGTCCAAATATTTTTTTGTTTTTTAGAATATTGTTTTAGATCTCTCTGTTTCTTTTAATAATTTATACCACTCTAACCTGTTTTAGATCTCTCTATTTCTTTTAATATTTTATACCACCCTAATTTCACTACAAAAAGCCCTTTTAGAGACACATTTGTCTCTAAAAATGTCTACATTTGTCTCTTAAAGTTTCAGAGACACAAAATTTGTTTCGTTATAAATCGGCTCTAAAAGGTAGTCTCTAAAAGTATTTGAGACGAATTTTAAATTCGTGCCTCTACTTTTGGAGACTAAAATATTTTTTTGTATAGTCATGAATTTTAACCTCAAAAAGAGATATTTTAGACGATAATTTAGTCATTTAGAGACTTAGTTAGACCAAAGTATCATGCTTCAGAGACAAAAGATTTTGTCCCTAATGTATATACATTCAGAGAAAAAATCTATTTGTATCTAAAAAGTATTTTTAGGGGCAAAGAAATGTCATCAAATAAGTTTTTTTTTTTTTTTTTTTTGTCCCTAATTTGTTGTTTGAGAGACAAAATGATTTCGTCTCTCTACGTAATATAAAAAATAGTATAAAATATTTTAATTTTAGACCACTATAACAAAAAGAGTTATAAGCGACGACATTATTAGCGACCACATTTATCGTTGTTAAAATTATAGTATTAGTGACGATATCTCGTAGCTTAAAAGAAAACAAAATTTTTGAACGACTTGTCGTTGCACAAAATTTAAATATTTACGACGACAAGTCGTCGCTAAAATTGAACGGATTATTAACGACGACATGTCGTCGCTAATATCTATTATGGCGCCAGTTTGTACATTATTTGAGAGGACATGTCGTTGTAAATATTGATGGTTACAGCTGGAGGTGACCTGGCCAAAAAGAGGCAGGAAATTTGACAGTTTCCTGCGAATAGGTTCCAGATCATATTTCTTTATTTTTTGCGACGACGGCGCAAAATGTCGTCTCAAAAAAAGGTTCCAGAATTCTTTTCAAAACGACTGTTTTTGCGACGACACGTATCATCAGAAAAAAAAGGTTCCAGAAAATTCTATCAAGGACGATTGTTTTTTGCAATGACAGTTTTAATAATGTCGTCACAAATAACCGGGGATTTAATTTTCCCAAAAAAAGGGCGGAAACTTTGGCGGTTTCCTCAAAATTATTTGCGACCACATTGTTAAATTATCGTCGCAAAAAATGAATCAGGCTATATTCTTGAAGAATATTCTCAGAAATATTAATGAGGTGAAGAAAAACGCTGTCGTTTTAACCTTAATTGCGACGATGGTTTAATCTTTGTTGCGACGACATAATATCGTCAC